CTTGGAGCTGAACAAGACCAACTCGCACACATATCTTCTCCAGAATGCGTCTTGGTTGTGTGAGTTAAAGAGCAGAAGACCTGAACAACACATGTATTCGCAGAACAAACCGTGATACGCATGCGGTTGAGGCTGAAGAGGTTTAGGCGCACAAGACAAGTTCCAAGGCTGTGCGACTCAGGCTTGCAGGATGGGAAGCACTTGACCAACTCGCACACTTGAAACTTTACCCATTTAAGCCAGGTCAGTACCCAAGTTGTCCTGGGCTGACCCGGTTCGTTTGAGACACTATATATATGGTTTAAGGTTTTTTCTTAAAGGAGGTCTCATTTTCCCTTAAGCCTTTTGACCTTTTTTTGTGAGAGAACACCTTTTTGAGAGAGAGATCTCCAATTTTCTGTCTAATCAAAATAGTTTTGAGAGCTTTAATCATATTTTCTTCATCATCTATCTATTTATATCAACTAATCATGCTTAACAACACATCTTGCAAAGGATTTAGTGTGTTAATTATGATTAGTGAGTAGTCCCCTTATTAGAATTCTAGATATGTAGGTTAGGGTTCTCTAGGGGTTTGATTAAGCTAGCTTAGGACTAGATTCATGGATCTTTGTTCTTGTTTAACTGATCTTAATGCTAGGTTTTTGAATATCACTTAAACCCAGATTGAAGACATTTCATGCACCAAAAGTTTTTGATGAAATGTCTGAACCAGTTATACAAGAGTCTAATGTTTGATTCCCATGGGAGTGTTGTTTTGAGCTTAAATTACATATCATGCATCTCTTTCATTTGTTTCTCTAATGATGATTGGGTATGAAATAATGTTTGAGATTGTGTTTTGATGCTTGAGAAAGATTGAAACTTGTTATCAATCATGAGCTCTTTAGATCATTTATCATCATTGTTCATTAGCTACTTAGTTAAATCCTGAAAAGCACCTTAGCCATCTATCATGTCTGGAGCTCTAAACCTCATCTCATCATATTCGTCATCTTGTTTAGTGTTCTTTGTTTCTTAGTAGACATCTTAATCTCGTTTTAGACTTGTTTTAGTTTGCTTGTTTAACTTTGTTACTTGTTTGAACCATAAACTGTTTACTTGGCTTGAATTAAGTGATAGCTTACATGATCTAGTGTCTGAACTCACCTGATTTGGATTGATACTCTTTGTGCTACTATGACAAGGGGATTGAGAACCTCTAAGAGCTGAAAACGCTTACTTTTCAACTAAGTTAGAGTCAATATGCGCTATAGGAAATAGTTACATATACTTTATTGATAACTAAAATGATTCATTACAACTAAACGGTCTGCACGCCTAAGCCAAATCATTCCCAAGATCGCCATCTTTACCTGAAAACCAACCACATAAATATATCTTCTTTTGCTTATGTATCATATATGCGTATGTATGCATTTAGTGCTTATAATTCCCTATACCTTATATTTCCATCGAACTCTTAAACTTAGTCGGATTAAGGTTCGCTTCGGTCCAGGCCGAGTTTTGGTGGATTCAGATCCATCCCCAAACACTCGCCTGACTGCATACCCAGAAACAACCATATCTTCGACTAACTATTCACTGGCCATATCTAGATTCTGAGGCCGGCGATCCGTGTGTACATCCGTCTAAGATCCACGCTCGGTCCGGCCAAGTCCAGACTTGGCCAAACATCGGATAAACCAAAAATTCTAATTCGTACTTTTTAAACTCTAGGAACTCACCTTAGAAACACATGCGGTCAGATCGTTCCGAGCCTGACTTCTCCCTTGGACTGCCTTTGCAACCCACATACCGCCGTTCCGGCCTGATAACCTGTTTCTCCGGCTTACTTCGCTCTCTTTCTCAACCTTTGGTTCAGTTTTATCGGCCAAACCTTGCCCTTACTTGTGTATGCGTAAAAATGAGGACAAAGGGCCTTATTTATAGTTTTCTCCCTCTTGTAACTGCCTTATGCGAACAGGTGCGTGTTGTTTGGCTGAACAGGTGAGTTTTTTGGTGAATAGGCTTCGCAACCGTTCGGCCATAACTGCTCATAACCGCCCAGCCCAGCTAGCTCAACTCTCACTCAACTGAACCCAGCTATTGATCACTTAGCCTAGCTGAACTGAGCTTCCCGGCAGCTAATCCAGCTAGCTTAGCTCGGTAGTTCAGCTGGTTTTAGCTCCGTACAGCTTTTTGAGCTTCTTCCGTCTATCTTTTCGGTCTTTCCTTTCTTTTCCCAGGCTAAGTCTTAGACCACTTGATGTAGGAACAAGAGTGACTTGTCCTTGCTTGGGTGGAAAGGCGGTGAATCTCTAGCTGGCCGTACGGATCTCTCTAGATGACTCGATAGAAAGGGAGTGATGAAACGATGAGACCGGGTAACAATGGATCGAGAGACGCCACACAGATGATGGAAGAGTCTGTGATAAGTCTTGTTCTTCAGCTTCAAAGGAATCGCACCAAAGAAGAGGAAGAGAACTAGCTGCGGCTAGGGTTTTTGCTTTCAAAGAAAAATCGGTTATTTTATTGATAGGTTAAAAGTTTACATGCTGAGAAGGAACCTTATATAATGGTTCGACAGCGGGCTGGCTTCTCTTGGCCGAAAAATACAGAAAAGGAAACTACAAAGCTCATCGTTTAACTAAAGCAAAAAAATGAAAAATTTCTAAAAACTAAGAAAAACGACTAAGGCAAAGAAAAGCTCCTGCAAAACAAACAATAAACTCGTGAAATAGAATCCAATTGTAAACACTTACATTGCTTCGATGAGTGGTATTTCCACTTGCTTGGAGATGACAAACGTAGTAGCGTCCTTGATGCCTTGTAAAACAGGTAAGAATGATATGGCTTGAAGCTTGAGTTGAGTGTAGTCATTGCTTGGTGTTTCCTTGACTTTCTTAGCTTCTTGAAGGTCTTGACTCACATCTTGTTGTGTCTCAAGTGTGCCGAGCTCGGTTAAAGGCTCCATTGGTGTCTCTCGGGTGATCTCCCCTTTGAGTAGCTCCTCTTTTAGTTCCTCGGGCTCTATAAGTGTGATCAGCCCTTCTATTGACTTGTTGAACTCCACTATTAGACTCTTAGTACCTGACATTTTCCTTGGTGCATGTCTCATGGTGGGTATGTTGATCGGCTCTTCATCAGCTAGTGTTAGGCTTGTCTCGATGTCCTCATCATTCCCTCCCTCTAGAAAAGGTTCTGACCGCAGAACAAGATCTCCTGCATGGAAAGGAGCTAAGTCAGGAACATTAAAGGTTGGAGAAATGTTCATCTCACCTGGCAGGTCAAGCTTGTATGCGTTGTCATTGACTTTCTCCAGGACTCGGAAAGGTCCATCTCCCCTCGGTAAGAGCTTTGATCTCCTTTGTTGTGGAAATCTCTCAGTTCTCATGTGGAGCCAGACCCAATCCCCCGACTCAAATGTGATCTCCCTCCGGTGCTTATCAACTTGTTGCTTGTATTTCTCAGTCTTCTTCTCCAGGTTTTCCTTAACTCGTTGATGTAGCTTCTTCACAAAATCAGCCTTGGTGATCCCTTATGATCTAGAATAGACAGCTTGGGGAAACGGTGAAAGATCTAATGGGGTCAAAGGGTTAAACCCATATACAACTTCAAAAGGGGATTGTTTAGTAGCTGAGTGTTTAGCATGGTTATATACGAATTCAATATAAGGTAAGCACGACAACCAATTCCTTAAGTTCTTACCCACCGTAGCTCTCAACAAGGTGGAGAGTGTACGGTTTACTACCTCAGTCTGGCCGTTAGTTTGTGGATGACATGTGGTGGAAAAGAGCAGCTTGGTCCCTAGCTTCTTCCACAACGTCTTCCAGAAATGACTGAGAAACTTGGTGTCTCGGTCAGAGACTATGGTCCTTGGAACTCCACGTAAACGCACCACTTCCTTGAAGAAGAGATCAGCGGTTTGTGTAGCATCGTTGGCCTTGTTACATGGGATGAAGTGGGCTATTTTGGAAAATCGGTCCACCACTACAAATATAGAGTCCTTCTTGTTGATTTTTGGCAGCCCTAGAACAAAATCCATGGAGATATCTACCCATGGTAGGTTAGGGATAGGCAAAGGTAAATAAAGGCCATATGGGTGACACCTGGACTTTGCCTTAAGGCAAGTGATGCACTTTGCACAAAACCTCTCCACATCTCGCTTCATATGTGGCCAGTGGAAGTGTTCCATCAGCACACTTAGAGTTTTGTCCCTCCCAAAGTGTCCCATGAGCCCTCCTCCGTGAGCTTCTCTGATTAGTAGTTCCCTCATAGAACCTTGCGGCACACACAACCTCTTGTCTTTGAATAAAAATCCATCGTGTTGATAAAATGAGCCATAAGCCGCCTTGTTGGTCTCTTGGAAGGCTTCCTGAAAGTCTGTGTCATTCTCATAAAGTAATTTAATATGTTCAAAACCCAATACCTTGGCCTCCATCGTAGATATGAGAGCATGCCTTCTTGACAAAACATCGACTACTATGTTCTCTTGGCCCTTCTTGTACTTGATAATGTAAGGGAAGGTCTCGATGAACTCTAGCCATCTAGCATGCCTCTTCTTAAGTGTAGTTTGTCCTCTCAAATGCTTGAGGGTATCATGATCTGTATGAATAACAAACTCTTTGGATAACAAATAATGTTGCCAAGTTTCAAGGGACCTTACTAGTGCATACAACTCTTTGTCGTAGGTGGGATAATTGAGTGATACTCCACTTAGTTTCTCACTGAATTAAGCCACGGGCCTGCCTCCTTGGGTTAACACAGCCCCTATACCTGTACCAGACGCATCACACTCAATTTCAAAGGTTAGCTCAAAGTTTGGGAGTACCAAAACAGGCGCATGTGTTAAGCTATCCTTTAGCTTGTTAAATGCTTCTTCATATGCTTGCCTCCACTTGAACTCCACGTTTTTCTTGATCACCGATGTTAGTGGTGCTGAAATCCTTGACAAATCGGCGGTAAAAGCTTGCGAGACCATGAAAACTCCTCAAATGGCCGATGGTGGTGGGCATGGGCTAATCTTGAATAGCTTTGATCTTCTCTTCGTAACCTTTCAGACCCTGTGAACTAACAACAAAGCCTAAAAATACTACTTGATCAGTGCAATATATGCATTTCTTAATGTTGGCGTATAAGTTCTCTGACCGAAGTGTCTCTAGAACTTGTGAGAGATGCTCCAGGTGATCTGCAAGACAAGTGCTGTAAATTAGTATATCGTCAAAGTACACTACTACAAAATTACAGATGTAGGCTCTTAGAACGTGATTCATGAGCCTCATGAAGGTGCTTGGGGCGATGGTGAGTCCAAATGGCATCACTAGCCACTCGTACAAGCCCTTCTTTGTCTTGAACGCCGTCTTCCATTCATCTCCTCCCTTCATTCGCACTTGATGGTATCCACTTCTCAAATCGATCTTAGAGAAGATGGTGGCACCGTTAAGATCGTCTAGCATGTCATCAAGTCGAGGTATGGGATGCTTGTATTTGATGGTGATGTTGTTGATGGCTCTAAAATCAACACACATCCTCCATAAGCCATCTTTCTTGGGCACCAGTTAGGGACAGCACACGGGCTTAGGCTCTCGCGTATATAGCCTTTTGACATTAGGTCTTGTACTTGATTCTCTAATTCTTTGGCCTCCTCGGGATTAACTCTGTAAGCGGCTCGGTTTGGCAACGGTGCTCCAGGGATCAGGTCAATCTGATGCTCTATTCCTCTAATGGGAGGCAAGCCTGGTGGAATCTCCTCCAGGAACACATCAGAATAGCGGTCCAACAGCTCCTTAACAGTTGGAGGGATCTCTTGTTGTTCCTGACCTGAAAACAAACCTTCCTTGAAGATCATTAGTAGCACCTGTTCTCGTGATTCAAGAGATTTAAGCACAACCGTAGGGGTAGCATAAAGGTTGGTCTTACTTACCTCTGAGCCTCGAGACATGGCCTTTTGCATGTCATGCACTTCTTGCGGAGTGAGTGGTGCTTGGTTATGCTTCTTGTTGTTATGAGTAAAGGTATAGTAATTTGTGCGTCCATTGTGTAGAGTTTCCTTGTCAAATTGCCACGGCCTCCCTAGGAGTAAGTGCCCGGCTTGCATAGGGACCACATCACACACCACTTGATCCGTATACTTACCAATGCTAAAGGGTACAGTTACTTGCTCAGCAATCTTGAGCTCAGTTTCATTGTTCAACCACTTGAGCTTGTAGGGTCGAGGATGCTTAGTCTTGGTGAGCCCTAGCTTATCTACAAGATACTTGCTATCCACGTTAGTGCAAGAGCCCCGTCAATGATCAAGCTACATACCTTGACATTTATAGTGCACCGAGAGTGGAATATGTTCTCTCTCTGAATGGTTTCTGGCTCAAAGAGTGCACTAAGTGCTCACCTTACTACTAAGAGCTCTCCTTGGTCAGGATAGTCGACTATGTCCTCATCAGTGTCCTCAGCTTCCTCCCCTTCGTCTTGTGATTCATACTCGCCATTAGATTTGAGGATCATTACTCTTTGGTTTGGGCATTCCCTCGCATAGTGTCCTTTGCCCTGGCATTTGAAACAAGTTATATCTCTAGCTCGTTGTGTAGGAGCTTTACTTACCTCGGGTCTATTGGCTTTGGAAGTTTCAGGAATGGACTTGTGGATCCGGTTATCCACTTTGACCGCTTTGCCCTTCTCAAGAGCTCGTTGAGGTTGTGGCGTTCAGGTGGTTTTCTACGGTTTGTGGAAGTGTTTTTCCTCTTAATGTGTTGCTCAGCTTGCACGGCATGATGCAACACGTCCTCCAAGTCGTGGTAAGTCTGCCTCTCGACCTTTCTAGCAATTCGATCATTAAGACCATCAATGAATTGGGCCATCAGGGTCTCAGCTGAGTCCTCTACTTCAAGTCGGTTCTTAAGAGTCTCAAACTCTTCGAAATAGTCCTCCACGGTCTTGCTTCCTTGAGTGAGCTTGCGAAATTTCTTCTGCAAGTCTCGGTGGTATTAGGCTGGGACATATCTCTTTCTGAGGCTGAATGTCATTTCCTCCCAATTATTGACCTGCCCATGCCTATGCCTTCTTCTTTCGGAAACATCTCGATCCCACCACGCCAAGGCATTGTCAGTTAGCTGTGCAGCCGCTAAGGACACCTTTCTAGCCTCCGAGTATTGGTAATAATCGAAGATGTATTCCATCCTTCTTTCCCAATCAAGATACGCATCAGGGTTCACCTTGCCGGCAAATGTTGGTGCGGTGAGCTTGAGGTCTTTGCCATCGTCTTGGCCTCGACCTCGTTGGTGTTTGATAACACCATATTTTAACCACTTTTATGGACCGTTTTGAAATACTTTTTTTATGTTTTTAATTGCTTTTAAGTACTTTTATCACGTTTTTCTAGTATTTGTAGTTCCAAGACTCTTTTCAGGAAATTTAGGGAAAAGCTTAACAAAATGGATAGAAAACCAGATTTCAGTTCAGAGTCAAACTGTCAGAAGTTCACCCCTGATTGAAGGCCTTCTCACCGTCTGATCCAGCTCAAATTTGGAGACCTTAAAGATGGAAGTATCAGCTTTCCAGTGCAATTTACAGATTGGCAATCCAACGGTTCATTCAAAAGATACGCGAAGAGCAAGATGTCCCGTAAACCAGCCGGCAAGCACTTCCACCCGCGGCCAACAAGCATTTTCCCACAGTCAGGAGCATCCCGACCGCGACAAACCACTCATCCACCGCGATCACACTTGTTCCGACCGCAGCCATCAAACTCCGAGCCCAAAAAGCCCATTTCTGAAGCCCACATTTGGAGAAACCCTAAGTGACGTCCAGAGAGGTCTTGAGTACTATAAATACATGTATTAGGAACCCTAATCGATATCAACCTATCACCACCGAATTATTTACTTAATACTTTTATTGTTTTTGCTTTAGCTTTTAGGGAGAGAGAGATTTGTTCTCTTGAACCCTTGTTCTTTCTTTTTCAATTTCGGTTTCTATTCTACTTCTTAATACTATGCTTTTGATTTCGTTCATTATGTCTGAGTAGTTTTATTGTTGGGATTAAGGGATTTTCAAGGAAAAAGGATTCTTCTGGGAGACCATAACAACTTACAATGCCCACGGAGATATCCATGATCCTCTCTTTGATGAAAATATGTCGTCTGTCTCCCAAACCGAGATTGATGATATGCTTCAGGAGCTCAATGAATCTATGGATGATGGGTATTGGGTATCTTGTGAAGTAGATGGAGAATCCTCCATCAAGTTTGTTAGAAAGAGGCCATCAAATGAAAATCCTTTGGATCATCACGTCGTGGAAGCCAGCCATCAAGAAAAAGGAGAACCTCTTTCCATACCCAGTGACGATCTCGTCTCTACCGATTCGTTCAAGTGTTTTGGAGATGACATACAAGATCATAAGTCACTTCCTCTTGGTGAACCAAAATCTTTTTCTCCTTCAGCTCCTCACCACCTAGACTGTGAGACAGACCACGTGTAAGATAAGACACTAATGGTGACATCAAAACCACCATTGAAGGCACTTTCTAAGACGAAGGATTCCGAGAAGTTTGATGCCCCATTCTCAATCAAGGAAGTGAAATTTCGTGATTCTCTTTGTGAATCTGGACCTGATGTGAATCTCATACCAAAGACCATTGCAGAGAATACAGGTATTTCGATTTTTCATCCCTCTAAGATTTATATTCACTATGGATATTTTTCTGGTACAGCTCTACTTGGTTCCAAACCAGAATTGCCTTTTCAAGGGAAAGGTTGTCTTGTTTCTACTGGTTCCCATGCTATGGAGATGAGAAACAATGCAACAAAACCCTTGATACTTGGTATTTCGTGTCTAGCATATGTTGGAACACTCATCAACTACCTGCATCAACATATGAGTTTCCTGAAGATCAACAAGAAAACCCCATACCCGGTGATTACTACAAGGAATTCTCATTGTCTGACAATAGGAGGCGAAGATGATCCAATATTTGACCCTGGAGGAGCTACAAAGGATGTTGGATACGTTCTAGAGAGAAGAGCACCCAAAGAAAACGCTGGATTTACAAGCTTGACGAACAAAGGTACTTCCTTATGTATACCTTTAACTAATGCTCTTATGAGAGGTAATGGAGACTTAATGGAAGCAAGAGTGAAGCTTAAATGGCTCTCAAGACTCTTTTCCAAAGACTCCCCACAAGGAAAAAGAATTGGAGACAAGAAGCAAGAGGATCTGGATACCTTTTCTCGGATATTCACCACCGCGGTCGCGTGTGCGCTACCAGCGGCCAAACCACCTTTCCCCGCGGTTGCGTGTGTGCTACCAGCGGCCAAACCACCTTTCACCGCGGTCACGACACTTCCACCAGCGGCCAATGCTCTTTTTACCAATTCTCCAACAGTTCAAGCCATGGCGACACCTCTCCAAGCAAACTGTCCTCACCTTGGATGCTTAACCATCTCCACCACTTCAGATCATAAAGAATCATCTGTCCTTGTATCTTGCAACATGGTTCAATTTCATGAAGTGAGAGAGACCTTATTCGCCTCATCATACAAGCATCTAAGACGTTCTCCTGTCACAAGTGGTGTTGAAGACTCATACCTCAAAGAAGTTCCAAGACTGATTTTTGATCCTGGAGGAGGCTACCATCTCGAACCTCCTAAGCAAAGCAAGGAGATGTCGAAAAAGACTTGTCTTAGGACAAAGTCTTCTTCATTGGAATAAGTCACGTCCAACACCAAAAGTCGAGCTAAACGACTTAAAACAAAAGTGCTTAATGGGAGGCAACCCATTTAGGTATTGTTTTCTTTAGGATTTTTCTTTCTTTTTTCTTTTGATATTTTTCTTTTTCTTAGTTTCAGGTGTTTCTTATAAAACAAAAAAGCCAAAAAAAAAATAAAAAAACCAGAAAAACCAAAAAGAAGGATGGTACCTGACTGCTCGGCCCAGCAGGAACCAAGGAGAAGCAGGAAGAGGCCGCAAAATAAGCTCTCGCGGCCGCAGATGTTCTGACCGCAGGAAACCCATCATCAACCGTGGTCGCGTAATCCTGACCGCGGCCAAGTGCTTGATTGCCGCGGTCGTGCAGCCCCTGACCGCGGCACTTGGTCGTTGACATCCAAACCCGACCCATACCACCCCTTTCACCCCATTCCACCTCACCAATCACCCTTCACCACCTTCATCACCACCTAATCACCTTCCCAAACTCCTTCGAATGAATCCGGTTCATCTCCACCAGCATCCCGGATCCAGGTAAGTTCTCTTTGTCCTTACCAATCCGATTATTTATGCATTTTTCTTGTCCAATCTCGACTTGTTTCACACTGAGGACAGTGTGATTTAAGTCTGGGGGAGGATTTCATCCTTTTCTAACCACCTTTCTTTCATGAGTCTTGCATTATCTACACTTTTTGCATTTTTCTTAAAGTTTTTCAAAATCGGTTTTCAAAACAAATTACGTTTTAAAGGGAATGGTGAACATGAATCAATGATAGTTGACTGTGTGCTTTAGACTGTTCCTAGTGACTTGCTCATTCATGATTTAGGACTAGACTAGGCGGTAGCTAAGCACATTTGAAACGAAGTACCCCAGAGGAATTTGAATGATTTCGATTTAGATGAAGGGATACACTAGCTCTGTTTTATTTGGACTTAATTTGGACTTCATTTTCTCATTGAAGCATTAGACCAAGGAAACGAATCATACATTCAGGACTCCTTTATCCTTTTACCACTCTCTGTTGATCCTGAATGGCTAGTTCATCTTTAGCTAGTTCCCCACCTTAACCAATCCTCTTTCAAACCACATGCACTCTTGTTTTCTATTGTCTTATATGCAGATAAGTGCAATAACGTTGGAGAGAAAGAGGAACGACGCAGTTTTCAGTCACCAAGGACAGAGACCTGCGATTTGCCGGAAAAGTTCCCGGAAGGATTCAACACAAGAGGAAGCTCAGTTTGCCTTAGAAAAAAATCTCAAATTTTGGTACAATCTCGTCCTCTAGTCTCTCTCTCTTTAAAAGGCATTTCCTTTCCAAAAAAAAAAAAAAATCCGAAAATAAGAAAAGAAAGGAAATAAAAGCCTTAGAGAGTCTAGAGAGGTCGAATTTTAAGTCCCAAGGCAACTGGAGTTTGATTTTATGGAGTTTTTGAGATTGTTTTCTGATTCCCGGAAAGAATCTAAGTCTGGGGGAACAGCTGTTTACAACAAAGGAGGAAGGATTATGCAACAACATTTGGCAAGAAGAAGTGACTGAAAAACTGTGGTCATCAACAGGTCCTTATCTCTCTTGCTGTTTTGCATATTATCTTGCATCCTCCAGATCTTCAGGTAACCCGAAACACTTTAACTCCACCACTTAAATAGCCCTTTAATGCAAAACGCCGTCTACCCTGGATGATGTCTTTAATGAAAACTCACTATTGAACTTAATGAATGTAGAGAGCTAGTTGGCTGAAATCAAGATTTAAATTGTTTAAGTTTTGCATGACGGAAAAAGTGGACTAGTATCTCTTGTGCTTTGGTGAGAATTTTCTAGACTAAGTTGTGGATTGATGCACTATCTTTGGTCCTAGTTTAGAGTTCATGTCTATGAGATTTGTGCATTCCCTATTTTTGTTTTCAATTAACCAGTTTAGGCTTTTGCTTTGTTTGAGGACAAACAAAGGTTTAAGTCTGGGGGAGTTGATAACACCGTATTTTGACAACTTTTATGGATCGTTTTGAAATACTTTTTCTATGTTTTTAATTGCTTTTAAGTACTTTTATCACGTTTTTCTAGTATTTATAGTTCCAAGACTCTTTTTAGGAAATTTAGGGAAAAGCTTAACAAAATGGATAGAAAACCAGATTTCAGTTCAGAGTCAAACCGTCAGAAGTTCACCCCTGATTGAAGGCCTTCTCACCGTCTGATCCAGCTCAAATTTGGAGACCTTAAAGATGGAAGTATCAGCTTTCCAGTGCAATTTACAGATTGGCAATCCAACGGTTCATTCAAAAGATACGCGAAGAGCAAGATGTCCCGTAAACCAGCCGGCAAGCACTTCCACCCGCGGCCAACAAGCATTTTCCCACAGTCAGGAGCATCCCGACCGCGGCAAACCACTCATCCACCGCGATCACACTTGTTCCGACTGCGGCCATCAAACTCCGAGCCCAAAAAGCCCATTTCTGAAGCCCACATTTGGAGAAACCCTAAGTGACGTCCAGAGAGGTCTTGAGTACTATAAATACATGTATTAGGAACCCTAATCGATATCAACCTATCACCACCGAATTATTTACTTCATACTTGTATTGTTTTTGCTTTAGCTTTTAGGGAGAGAGAGATTTGTTCTCTTGAACCCTTGTTCTTTCTTTTTCAATTTCGGTTTCTATTCTACTTCTTAATACTATGCTTTTGATTTCGTTCATTATGTCTGAGTAGTTTTATTGTTGGGATTAAGGGATTTTCGATGGGGATTTATATGTTCGATGAGGATTCCATGAGCTTTTGAGCCAAATCTTAGAACTTTTTCTTCTGAATTCGTTTTTACTGCATGAGAGTAGCGTCATGAACTACAATCTGATCCAGATGCTTGGTGACACGAAAGTGTTCATCCAATATCAGATCTAGTTTGGGAGAGCAAAACAAACATAGGAGTGGAAACCTACCTATGGGCGATTTGTGAATTAGGACGAGTCTTAAACATAATGCATCTCTTCTCTTCCAGGGCCAGAGTGGAAACCTACTGGTCAGGGTTGAGAGAGATAGTTGTCTATGATCACGACAGTGGCGTATTCATACGTCCGTGACTCCAGTTCGAAAAGTTTAAGCTAAGATCTTATCAAATTTACTCTCTAGCAATGTTTTGAATCGTTCGTACCCCTGAGAAAACTTCCCTGAACCCCAACGCCTTCTTCCTTATTGATTTACAATGATTTTCTTTCAAGCTTTAGTTCAATATTGTCTTTCCTTTTTAGTTCATTTTCATTTAAGCAATTAGATATCCGTTTTTTACATTTTTAGTCATTTTCGTTAAGTTTAGTTATTACGTCATTTAATTCCTGTATTCTCTTTTAATATTTTGTTTTTGCATTTTAAACACACTACCAAACCCCCACAAAACCGTTTTGGTTCTAGACTTCCTTACTTAATACTTATTTCAAAGGCTTTTTGCAAGAAAAGATCCTCCTTCCCTGTGGATTCGATCCCTAAGTACTACAATCGATCAGCTGTGCACTTGCGGCTATTGATTTCAATTAGGGTAAAACTTGACAACCCTTGACACAACCACATCAAGTCACCATCACCATCAGTGTTGTCCTCGGGGTTGGTTTTGGTTTGGTGGATCACCATTGTCAAGATCCTCCATGACCTCATCTTCGTCCTGGTTGTCCCTCCGCGCGTTTACACCTCTGATAGGTCCTCTTGGGGCCGGTGGTGGTTGCTCAATCCGTGTCATTCGCTCCCCTAAGGTTGCAAGTTGAGCTTGGATATTATCAAGCATCTGAGCCATGTTAAGCTCTCCTTGTTCTCCCATATCGTCCCTGCGTGCAACAAAAACAACAAAAGATTAAGTGCAATTGGTGCGGTATGAAATTTTTGGCTACTAAAACGCGAATTACAAATCTTATAAGTATGATGACTCTTCTCTCTTTTTTTTTTTTTGATGCAATGATAATACTATAGGATATGAGGATAAGAATATAAATTTGAAACAAACAGTACTATTTGTTTTTTGATTTTCTAGAGAACCCTAACAAGATGAAATGACTTAAACAAACGGATCTAAATTTTTTTTTTTTTTGATTTTCTTCAAGAATGAAACGAAACTAGAAGGTAACAAGGGGATAGATTCACCTGACACGAGCCTAGGCTCTGATACCAGATCATGTAGGAACAAGAGTGACTTGTCCTTGCTTGGGTGGAAAGGTGGTGAATCTCTAGCTGGCCGTACGGCTCTCTCTAGATGACTCGATAGAAAGGGAGTGATGAAACGATGAGACCGGGTAACAATGGATCGAGAGACGTCACACAGATGATGGAAGAGTCTGTGATAAGTCTTGTTCTTCAGCTTCAAAGGAATCGCACCAAAGAAGAGGAAGAGAACTAGCTGCGGCTAGGGTTTTTGCTTTCAAAGAAAACTCGGTTATTTTATTGGTAGGTTAAAAGTTTACATGCTGAGAAGGAACTTTATATAATGGTTCGACAGCGGGCTGGCTTCTCTTGGCCGAAAAATACAGAAAAGGAAACTACGAAGCTCCTTGTTTAACTAAAGAACCAAAATGGAAAAGTTCTAAAAACTATGAAAAACGACTAAGGCAAAGAAAAGCTCCTGCAAAACACACAATAAGCTCATGAAATATAATCCACTGTAAACACTTACATTGCTTCGATGATTGGTATTTCCACTTGCTTGGAGATGACAAACGTAGTAGCGTCCTTGATGCCTTGTAAAACAGGTAAGAATGATATGGCTTGAAGCTTGAGTTGAGAGTAGTCATTGCTCGGTGTTTCCTTGACTTTCTTGGCTTCTTGAAGGTCTTGACTCCCATCTTGTTGTGTCTTAAGTGTGCCGAGCTCGGTTAAAGGCTCCATTGGTGTCTCTCGGGTGATCTCCCCTTTGAGTAGCTCCTCTTTGAGTTCCTCGTGCTCTATAAAAGTGATCAGCCCTTCTATTGACTTGTTGAACTCCTCTCTTAGACTCTGAGTACCTGACCTTGTCCTTGGTGCATGTCTCATGGTGGGTATGTTGATTGGCTCTTCATCAGCTAGTGTTAGGCTTGTCTCGATGTCCTCATCACCACTGAACTTACCCGATTACTTTGGACCATGGACCGATTCTTTGCTTAGTCTCTCGCCCTTTCTTTCCCACTTCTCGACCATGGTCTGTCCCGGTGATCCTATTGCGGATCGGAGATGTTACAGATCGGACACTGGTTCGCAACTCCAGTGTACTGCTTTGAGTATGGGATGAATGGGAGAATCATTTAAAATCGAAATCGTTTAACCTAAAAACCTAGATGTCATCGGTCATTGGGTCCCTTTCGAAGGCCCTCTTTACCCAACCAGGTAACTACTCAGACATGACAGAGACATGGCAGAGCTTGACAACATCATCATTGGTTTTGAAATAAATAAAAAACTAAAGTTAAAGAGATTTCACAAACTGAATAGATAGATGAAAAGAAACAGCAAAGGTTCAAGACAAGAATCTTTATCTTCTAATCTAAACCTAAGAAACAAAAGTTGGGTGCCTCCCTAACAAAGGGAAAGGAGCACACACGAATTAGGGTTTCTAAAATACATATTTATAGGTCTCCAAGTGTTTTTGGTCGTCCTTAGAGCTTTTTTCGCAGAGAGAAAGAGTTGGGCTTGAAAACGGGCCATTGGGACGTAAATAGGCTTGTCGCAGAATTGGGCTCTCCAACGCTGGTAAATGTGAGTTCAACACGGTTGGAGGCTCTGAGGCGTGGCCAGGATAGTGTTCACCGCGGTCACGAGATCTTGGACCGTGGTGGTTGGTCTATGATGTCCAAACTTCATTTCTTCTCTTGCTTCTTTCGCAAGACTGCAGAAAATGTCTTATGTAAATTGGAAATAACTTATGATCCAACCGTTCGATTGCATCCAATCTAAATGAATTAGAAAGCTGGCTGTCTCCTCTATCTTGTGTCCAAATTTGAGCTTTATCAGATGGTGAGAAGGTCTTCATCGGATATCAAACTTCTGACAGTCTGAAATTGGCCAAAAGTGGATTTTTTCTCCAATTTGCATTGTTTTTGCCTAAGTAACCTCAAAAGTCTTTTAAAATTCCAAAACATAGAAAAACAATTATAAAACCTTTAGAACTGATTGAAAACACATGCATAAAATATTGAAAGTGATCCATAAATATGGTACAATGTGTTATCAATGCATTATGTTGATTATGGTTTAGAATGACGGTGACTGAGATATTGTTTAGTTCCTGCGATTTAATATTCTTTCCTGACTTTAAATTTTGTTTTGTTTGAGGACAAACAAATGTTTAAGTCTGAGAAAGTTGATAACACCGTACTTTGACCACTTTTATGGATGACTTTAAGATCTTATTCAGGTGTTTTTACTCAGTTTTCAATGGTTTTTAAGTTATTTCCACGTTTTAGAGTTTAAAAAGATTTTTCTGGATATTTGGACAAAACGAATGCATTTAGGAGCAAGAGTACAATTTTGGATAAATCAGGCCGTCAGAAGTTTTGCAACAAATGAAGACCTTCCAACCATCTGATCATCCCCAAATATGGACACAATATAGAGGAGTCAATCAGCTTTCCAATTCACTTGGAATCGAAGCAATCCAATGGTTAGATCTCCAGATATTCTCGTTGCACTGAAGGTGAATAAACACAGTCTGGAACCCGAGGATGCTCTCACCAGCGGACGGAAGACCTTCCACCGCGGCCGCGAATATATAGACCACGGAGAACCTATTTCCAAGAATCAGAAGCCCATTTTAAAGCCCACGACATTCCTGTCATTATTCCTGCAAACCGTAGATGTTCCCAAAGACTCCAAACACTATATAAACCTCTTTTAGGTCATTTAGAGAGGTGTGTGCCCAAATATTATCAAGAGTCTTAGAGAGCCACTGTAATTAGCCGTTTAGGAGATCAGGACGTGGTCAATGAAAGAGCTTAGAAAATCAAGGAAGCAGCTATGGTTAATGGTCGAGAGCTTTAAGTTTTAGCTATAGAAGATAAGTTTTTGGTGGGTCGTTTCGGTTCGATCGGAAGGTCGGAAATGGGTTGGTCAGGAGTAGCTGCTCAATGACTCAGCAGTTTGACTCAGCAGCTTGACTCAGCAGCTTGACTCAGCAGCCTGCTTGCCTGCTTGAGCAGCTTAGATACACGCCAGACACGCGCCGAGAAATGCTTTCCACGCACCAGAAAACGCTCTGACGGGCCGGGATACGCTCTCCACACGCCGGCACACGCCAAGCACGACACAGCAGCTTCGTGATCTGCTTCACCTGCTTACGCCTCCATACGCAAGCACGACTCAGCTGCTCGGGAATCTTTTCTACAGGCACGACACAACTGCTCGGGAATCTTTTTAGAATCTCCATATTTCCCCTATAAATAGAAGCTTTAGGATTTAGTTTTCAGTATAGAAAAGAGCAGCGGAGCTCTGCTAGAAAATTTCCGGCAACCATGACTGCCGTCGAGCACCGCAAACCACCGCACGAGCTGTAGTCGGGTAGCAAGTCGGGAACAGTAAGGTATGTCGTTTTAGCTTGAAGTCACCTGTCTAACCTAGTTTTTCGTCCTGAATCTAAATATCACCTCTATTTGGCTCGGTTCTGGTTGGATCTCTATAAAAATTTGAGTTGTGTAGGTGAACGGAGAGGTTATCCGAAACCATAAGAAACCGTTATTGTCTTGAAAGGCTAAGGTGAGTCTCGGTGTGGGTTGTTTGTTGCTTGACTGCAAAGCAAGTAGGGATATATATATATATATATATATGTATGTATATTGCGTGTTGCATTGCGATATGAATCCACGGCACGTGCACTAGCACATATTTTAGTGTCATGTCGATGAGAGATATGAGTTGCTTCCCTCAGCCATGTGATGTGATGAGATATCCGGGCTTGCAAGGCGGATATGAGAATGTTGTGAAATCCCGGGTTGATGACTGATGCATGAGAGAAGACAGTCGCGACTTTTTAGCCTGTGTGGCTGGGGTCTGATTTGTGCAAAATTTGAGATTTTTCTTTGTGCGGGATCCGGTCAATGGCATCTGAGAGATTTGGAGTTTGAGAGTATGTTGGGTGTATGCATGTATAATAAGTGTATATTATCATGCATCTGATGTGAGATTATTATTGTTGTTGTGTGATGCGTGTTTTGCGTGATGTTTGGAGTTTTTGGGTTATTGCTTGAACGGTTAGGGAAACCGAACTCAATGAGCAATTAGTTACTCACGACTCTACTTGTTTTGCAGGTGACCATAGTGGGTAGCCAATTGGGACAAGAGAAGTTTAGCACCGTTGGTGTAGATTTCGTGCCTTTCGCAAAACAAAGTATGATTTTAGTTGTTTTCGGTATAATGTTTTCTTCGGCACACCCATTGTATAACAAACAATGTAGTAAAAATATGTTTTATAAAGGTTCGGGTTTTCGAATGATACTAGTCTTTGTCCAGGACGAACCAACTACCAGACACGTCTCAGGTTGAAAATCTGGGAGATGCGTTCGGTACGAGCAGTGTGTGCGGACGTCGACCTTAGGCTCTTGGACGTGCATGTTCTTGTTTGATTGGTGCATGATGTGGGTGTAGTGAGCAACACAAGTTTTACCCCAGACAAGCTGCAAGTGCACAGAAAACTCAGTAATACTTCTAACTGATGCTAAAAAAAATTGTAAACCTAATCTAATAAAAAGGGGTTTTGGTTTGTCGCTAAATCTAATTATGCAGAGAATAAAAACTGAAAATAAAAATTGGTTGAAAACTATATGAAAAACGGCGCTGGTTTAAGGTTCATCTTTAGGGTTCATGTTCTAAAACACAAGGAATTTAGGCAAAGATTTTATATGACTCTGAAACTAGGATAGACACATGTAAGATTAGCCAACTCTCGTCACCCTAATCATCAAATCACTTGTTCATGGCAATTAACTCTCGCTCTCATGCCGGAACAAGATCATGCTTTGTAGATTGGAATCCATCTCGGCTTACGTATCCTCCGTATGTAGCTTTCGTCTCCTACGACGGTGACGTCCATAAGATCCAGTTCAGGCAACCCATATACAACACTCTCGTGCCTCGGATTTAACCTAGGATCGGATTCTGGGTGATCAATCCAGAATTACCGCTTTGAGATTTGGATGAATGGGAGAATCATGTTAGAAATCGAAATCTTTTTTCCTAAAAAACCTAGATGTCATTCGAACATGGGGTCCCTTTGGATTACCCTTTCACCCACCTAGGTGACTACTCAGATATGGCTGAAATAGATATTATCATCGGTTTAGAACTAACAAAAAGAAAAGTAAACAAACAGAAGGTTGCAGAAAAACTTCTCTTATTTAAGACAGAGTGGCGATAAAGAGCTTCTACAAATGCATAAAAATAAAACCTAAAACTACAAATGAGTTCTCTCTCAAAGAGAAGAAATACGCTCTCTTACAAAAGACGTCAAAATGAGTATTTATAGTGCTTCTCCAAGTCTTGGGCGTCTAGGGCTTGTAAATTGGGTGCAGGAAGTGTCTTCGGCCTTAGTTGGGCTCTTGAGGTTCAGACATAGGTCCACCGGGGTTGAAACCTCTTGACCCGATGTGGCAAGAAGGCTGGCTGCGGGTGAAAGCACATGTGCTTGACTGGACTTATGTTGATTAGCCTTCAGTGCATTGATGATATTTGGAGTTCTAACCATTGGATTACTTTGATTCCAAGTGTGTTGGAAAGCTGGTTGTATCCTCTATATTGTCTCCAAATTTGGGGAGGTGAGAAATTCTTCATTGGTTGCCAAACTTCTGACGGTCTGAATTTATCCAAAAATGTACTTTTGCTCCAAAATGCACTTCAAAGTTCCAAGTTTACTGAAAAGCCTTTTAAAACTCCAAAACATGGAAAACACTTATAAAACCTTTAAAACTGAGTGAAAAAACCTGCATAAGATACTTAAACTGATCCTTCAAAATGGTCAAAATAAGGTGCTATCAACTCCCCAGACTTGAACATTTGTTTGTCTACAAACA